GCGCCTCATAGAGGATGCGGTATTTTAAATCCTTATCATGAGGAACCACAATTCGTGGTGTATCCGTTGAATCGGTGCTGTAATACAGCAAACCATTTTTCAACGAATATTGTGCAATTGTGCACGCAGTCTTGATGGCAATTTCTTGTCCGAGTTTCCAAACTTCTTCCTCCCTAGAGCCCATAGCAACGCTACATACATCCCATCACCCGCATACGCGATGCGGATCAAATCCGTCACCGACGACGTTACAGTTGTAACATGAGCAAGCTCATAGTATGGTCTACGTGACAACGCGTCAGCCAAGTAGCTCCTTGTCATGAACTGGGTAGTTCTTCTCTGCAGCTTTGATCTATCGAGATTCGAACGCGATCACCCGATCTCACCCCTCGGCGTCTGCTTGCAGCAGTGCACAGCCGATGGCGAAGGCCGAAGCGTCACAGACGACGCTGAAAGGACGATCAGGGTCTGACAGTACCAGTTTTAAAGCATGCAGGAGGCTGTCTATGACCTCGTCAAAAGCCTCCTGATGTTCGGTGTTCCAACAACATTTCGCATCCTTTTTTAGGAGGTTGGATTATGGCCGGGCCATTTATGCGTAGTTTACGCTGTATATGTGTAAGTAATTGCCAAGACAAAGCCACTTCTGCAAGTCCTTCAGGTTGTTTAGAACAGGCCAAACTACAATGTCCTTGACGTTAGCGGGATCCGCTCGAAGGCCACGCTTCCCAATGAAGAACCCTAAAAGGGAATCACTTCTGCGCCAAAGATGCACTTGTCTGCATTGGCGTACAGTTTGTTCGTGCGCATGCACCCGAGCTACGTGCTTAGATGGACGATGTGGTTCTACTCATTCGTCCTCCTGTGCCCTGCACGACTGTGAGCGAAAATGTCGTCAAAGCATGTCTGTGCATACGGCCTGTGGGACCTGAACAACTGCGTCACAGGACGATTAAATGTTGCTGGTGCATTTGACAGCTCTTGGGGCATCACCAGCCACTCTCAGAGCATGCCGCTCAGAGCGCTCATCGCTGTCAGCGGAAAATCACTCGCTCTCATGAGCAATTGGTAATACCCATCGGCCAAATTGAGTCCACTGTACTTCGTACATCCCACCATGTTGTTCTGAAGAACATCTTTCCTAGGAATTGGCGTTTGTGCCGGAATGGTGGAATGTTGAGCTTATTGTAAGCATGAACGATACATCACTTGCCGTTAGGCTTCCGAACACAAAACGTGGGTGTCGAAAGGGTAGACGTGCTCTCACGCACCATCCCTGCGTCGTGCTTCGTACGGAAAAAGGCGTCAATGACGTCGCACTGCTCCTTGGGCAGGGGCCATCGGCGTGTTATGAAGTATTTGGTTCCCGAAACCAGGTCGATCTCATGACGCAGACTTTGGTCCGGAGGTAGGACCGAAGGCGGGTCTTTGGAGACGATGTCTTGTCCTTTACCAGAGGATAGTACGGATCCAAGGGATTCCGTAGGATCGACGATCCATTCCGTGCGTTCAGCACTCTCTTGGTGGCTTCCAAGCCAGCTTCATCCAAAAGCGATGACGAGTTCATCTCCTCGTCCGGTCGTACAATGACCACTTCGGCCAAATCGCCTGCCTTCAAGGCACTGCCGAACTCTTCAAGAGACATCTCGTCCAGCTCAAGAAGAGCATCAACTGCAAACATAGCCTCGAGGCGGACGCCGCCATCGTCCTCCCCCGTCATACCGTAGACTAAGGTGTATAACTGTGCACCGTCGTTTACGGTAGACACACCGTGGATCAGGGTCGGCACCCGGCGTCTTGCAGCCAGCATACGGCGTCGCCGTCGCCTCTGTACCGAGATTATATGTCTCAGTGAGACCAGGGTTAACACGCACTCGGCGTCGTCCGGTGTCACCCTCACTTTCCGCTCCTTTGAAGCTCCGATGTTATCTACAACATCCGACGAAGAATTGCTAACCCCGCAGTCTTCGTCCAGCTGATACCGTGCTACTCCACGCGCATCACGAGAACCTCGCCCTCGATGCCTCGGCCCTTGGCCGGCCATGTCACGCATGACATGCAGCGACT